GGAATTTATTTTATTGTACATTTATTAAGTTTTTTTATTCCATTTGAGAAACTTAACCTATGAAAAATTCTTATGAAACTCACAACCTTTTGGTTAAATTTACAGTTGTCTTTCTACTAACATAGAAGGGGTAACTAGTCACAAAAAAAAATGGGGATTGTTGACACGTTTGCCTTGACTGCGTTATTTTTTTAAAACCATTTATTCAAATTTTTGGTTAGTGCTATATATGTCATGTTGTGATGTCATTCAAAAGTACGACATCACAAGCTGCATCACAGGCTGGATCTCCCAAGAAATACTTTTAATGGTTTTGCTGCAATGAGTATTTACCAACTAAATCCTGATTTTTTTAATGATGATGATTATTGTTCAAATAATGTAACTGATCGCTGAGCCGATTCAAATAAAGAAATCTGCCAACCGTATTCATTTCAACTAGAACCACAAAATAAAAGGAATAAATTATTCAGATACTAGCTAATCAGCTATACAGATGTATAAAAGATCCATTTATATCAAATAAAATCTTTGATCATGACCCAATCACTCCATTAGTTTTTAAAAAATCAATCATATTACCTGAGAGTATTAGACCTATAGCAGGTAAAAGGTTAGCATCAAAAAGAGGTTGGAAAAAGCGTTTAACTTTGTTTCTAACTAACTCACCTGTCAAAGCATGGCTTACTACCCAGCTAGTACACATAGGCCAACGTGTGTAAAACCATTGCAAACGTCGGCTGTTTTTTCCGATGCAAATCCGAGGTTGATCCAATGTCATGTTTTTAACAATAATATAGATAAAATGCTTGATATCGACGCAACTAAAAACAACTTGCACAGATACGTTAGGCCAACATATGTAAAACTTTATTGTTTTTACGATCTAAACTCAACGTTGATCCAATGTAAAAAACCTAACGTTGATTTAATGTATATGAATTAAAGTTGAGCCAATATATATAACCAACATTGATTTAATATGCATGAATCAACGTTAATACAGTGTATACAACCAAACTTTGCGAGTGCAAAATTATAAATCTTAAATAAAATCTTCCGTAAATATTTAAATATCAAACCACAAGCAAAATAAACGTTATTAAAGTCTAAATTTGATTAATAATTGAAATAACAATACTTTTCAACATAGCTTTTCGCCATCTTTCTGACTTTTTCCTTATTTATATGTATACATCAACAGATAGAGAGAGCAATGGATTTAATGTCAACATTGACAAATATGGGCTCATGAAGAATGCATACCAGGCTTACAGTTTTTTTAAGAAACTTGTTTTTCTTAAAACATTACTTAAAACACTATTTTTTAAAACATTTATTAGAGTGTAAGTTGTGTTGTACTTTTGAAAAAAAATATAATGTTTTCAGTATATTACATTTTCTTTATTTAAATTAAGATTATTCCAAGATTAAGATTATTTTCACGTACCTGGGAGTACCACGCTCAACTTGTTTCTCCGCGCGACGACTTTATTTGTCAAGGTTTGTGTTTCGGTGTCAGAAAGCTGAGAGAGGATTGTAACTACAATGAGTAGCCTCCTCGACTATAATGGCCTCGGCCTTAAGGAGGTGAAATCATTAAAAAAAATTGTTTTCAGAATAATCTGAAAAACTTTAGTCTCAGAGCTATATTAACAAAATTAAGTTGAATTTGCATTAACTGGTTATAATCCAAATATATTAAGAAATGTGACAACCAACCCCACACTCTGTAACAACCAATCCCGTTGTTGGGGTATGTTGTCACACAGTAGAGGTCTTTGAAAAATGATCTTATAACAAAATATATTTAATTCAACATTGTGAAATTATTTTAATAGTTCCCAGAATTCAACTTTTTGCAAATTTTTTACTTTGATATAATGTTCCGCTCTTCCCTACTTTTTGAGTTTATTGGTGTACTTTTTAAGGTGTTTGGTGTACTTTTTTTGAGTATTTGTGTTCAACCAAACATGCATATTTTAAGTAGGCGATTCCGAAAGTATAAATTTTAAATTTTAGGAATTCGAAATTTTGTTTTTTTTAGCATTGGTTAAAATTGTTGCTATGTTAGTTATTATCACTATGTTATTGCTATGTTAATTAGTATTATTTTGTTATTTGTGGGACAAAAAAGTGATCATAGTCATTTACTCCCTTAGTTCAATTATAATAACTTTCTTAAAAAAGATATAATGTTCAATTACCTTACTAAAAAAATGCCAACAGTATTTCATACAAGGAGAAATTAGACATTTATAGAAGTAGAGAATGTAATTAGAAGAACGAAAATGTCAATCAAGATAAATAGAAACAGACTTATTAAATGCTAACTCACCAATTGATTGGGTTTCCATGAGAGATCAATAGTGAAATTCGAAAAAACCTAAAGTAGAGGAAACTTGCTTGGTTTAAAATTTACCAACCAATGTATGTAACTGCGTTTGATTTTTCTGAAATTTTCACTGAATATAGCTAATTGTATTATTTATCTAGAAATAAAAACATTTTTCAAAAAAAATTTAATTATGTAATTAAAAAAACATTCCCATTTTTCTGCGGTTAAAAAGTTAAAGGGCACTTGTAGTTTTATTAATTAAAATTAATATTTATAGTTTTAAAAAATAGATTTGATTTCAAAAGATTAGTATTTTGTTGGATAACCTTTACAGTCAATAACAGCCTGGCAATGAGGTGGTCTTGAGCCTACTAGCTTGATTATATCATCTAATGGAATCTTAAACTATTCTATATTGGTATTTGACCTTTTCATTGACGATTTAGGTGTTAATCCAATAAATTCTCAAAAACGTGAATTTTTTTGCTTAACTGTAGTATGCTTTGGATCATTATCTTGTTGAAATCCTCGTGGGAATTTTATCCTGAAGATGAAACATTTTATAACTGATGATCTCCGTTTACTTTGATGATTCTTTAGCATTTCAGCATTTAGTGCCGCAACAGATTTTCTTTGATCTTCTTTTGACATTCTTACCAGCAATTTTTCCTCTTTTTTATTAACAGTTTTTGGTTGACCGGTTCGGTTCTTGTATTTGTTTGTTCGTTGAAAAAGTTGTATTTTTAAAAAATCCTTTTATTTTCTAAAATTGTATTTATTTAAATAATATTATTAACTATATTTAGTAGAAATTTTATTGAATGCGTCGTTTAAAATTAATAACGGAATAAGTGATTGTGCTTAAACTTTAGGACGCTATTGTATAACTTATGGTCAGATCATAATATGAATTAAAAATCTAAAAGATAAATTGAGCATAAGTTGACTTCAAAAACTTGTAAAAATCAATTTGAGTTGTGTTGAAAACGATAAACCTTTTTTTTCTGTATTCACCTCCCCTAGGTCGAGTAGTAGCCTATAATGTAGTAACCCCCACATTATAGGCAGCTACTCATTTTATTTTAATTGTTATAAATTTGTAATCAAGTGGTAAATTAAAGTTATTTTTTTTTTTGTTATTTTTTTTTTTTTTGTTATTTTTTTTATTTCCAAAGTTTTTAATTATAAACTGTTCATTCGACAGCAGTTCGTAAACTCCCAAGGGACAAAAGTAATTTTTATATTGTAACGATCATCTATTGATAATTTTCAATACAAATTTATAACAGCTCGAAATAGCAATTTTAAACCTCAAAAAAATTAAAAATTAATAAAAAATTAAAAAAAAAAACTATAAGTTTAAAAAATTATATAATGATTCCTGTCCCTCAGTATTTCATGCACTTAAAGCCGCAAAAAGAATAAAAAAACTTAATAAATGAATTAAAAATTTAAATAATCCAGACTTGATTAAATTGAAATAGCGACCTGGTGGAGGAAAGAAAGTGTTTAATGAAAACAACAAATATAAAACTTTTTTTTTGTTTGTTTTTGATTTATAGGTGACAGTGTAAATAATATTCTAAAAAAGCTCAAGCAAAGCTATTAACTTATTTATTATTACCTGGTAAGAGTTTTTTAATGTTGACCATATATGGCAGTTGTACATTGACCATAAATGTATCACTTTCTTCTATTGGATGGCATCGGTGCGATCTTTAATACTTAAAACTAAAAATAGTATGAAAACCATAATTAATAAGAACAAAGCTTACACTATATTCTTACGTGCATATGCTTATATTTCTTCTTTATGATATGGCGTTGGTGCGGTCCATGTATGGTTATAATGCTTATACCACTACAAACCACATTTAATATGAACAAATGCCAGAGCCGGCGTCGAACCTCAGACCTCTGCGTTCTGAACCAGAACTCTAATCACTGCGCCACGGCTGCTCAGCTGCTTTTCTACTTTCCTTTAATAAAATGTTTATACCGTTTAAAACCACATTAAAAAAGAATAATAGCCATATGTTTGTTTATGTTTTTCCAGCGCGTGGGAAAAACATAAATAAACAAGTCTAATAACTTGTTTATGTATATTAGAAGACGACGGATGTCTTTAATGGTTATCATTGATAACCATTAAAGTTTTTAATGGTCATCAATGAACTCCGCCGAATTTGACACTAACACCAACTTCAATGACTTGCCCGCATCTTCGTTTACAAATCCTTGTAAAATGTTGTTTTTGACTGAAGAGAATGATTTTTTTTATAACTCTTCTTAGATTTTTTATAACATCTTGAAAATCTTCAATGAAATTAGTAGAAAAATTAACAGAAAAATGACTTTAATGTTTTTTTTTTAATTTGCAGAAAATGCTTGTAACTTCAAAACTATTTGTATTCAACTCCTCAGCGTAGTTGAGGAGAGATCCGAAAAAAAATATTGCGTTTAGACCCTTTCATTTTCAAAAAAGCCGTTTTATTTTGTGTACGTTTTGATTGGTTTTGTTTTTTAAAAAAAATCACGAAGCTCGTTGTTTTACTTTGTTTAAAAATATTGGGTGATTTTATTATCTACGAGTTTGAAGTTTTAGCTTAATACCATAGGGCAGAGGTTTTATAAAAACACATCGATAATAGCAACTAGCATATTAACTTAAATTTTATCTTTTGAAAATAGGAGGACTTCTTCATAAGTACGTTCATCAAACTCTTGCTTACTTTTTCTCACTCTTTTGACTTCTTTTTCATGTACTTCACATTTGGACAACTCTTTTCCATATTTCTCAAATTTATCCGAATTCTGTCAAACATCTCAACGATTGAAAAAACTCAGGCAATAAATGCAACAAATCAGCAGCTTTATTCAAATCTTCAGTGGCACCTTGCAAACCTAGACTTGTTTTACTGAATCTTTGCAGAATCGCGTCCTCTAAGACAGTCTAATTATCAAGACGTTTTGTTAGTCCATGCGCCTCATTATTTCTCTGGCATCTTTATCCAGGGATTTTTTTCGTTTTACAGTCCCAATCTCATACTTTCTTCCAGACATTACACAATTGTTATACACACCTTACAGACAGAGATATTCTGCAAGAAAAATTATTGTTCTCAATCAATAATATATATTTTTGAATACAAAAGTTGTTACAATTCCCGGTCATTTATAAATAGTAACAAACTAATCTGAAGTAAACTCCTGATTTTAATAACAATAATATAAAAATAGATAAAAATTTAAATAATAATAAGACATCGTATGTTATACATAATTAAAGACATTCATTTAATAAGAGTAATGTAACACCAAATAATAATAATCACATTACATACATATGATAATAATAAATACAACACATACATAATACCATTATTAAATAAATATTTAATATCGAGAAAAATAGTAATAACAACAAAAAAGTAAATTATAATTAATATAAATCAATATTAATTTTCATTCATAGTTACAGTTAGAAACAGTATTAAACTGACAAAACGTAACAACGATGACATAAAGACGACGTTAAGTATTGATACACTTAAAATATAGTAATCATAATTGTTGAATAAACAAAATATTGAAAACGAGCTACCGTTAGATTGGTGTGCCTCAAAATTGAAAATATTAGCGATGTTCTTGATTGATAAACGAGATACAGTTGATAAAGGAGACATGCTAAATATCTAACAAGTATCACAACAGAAATAAGAGTTTGTCCGTATGCCGTATAATCAGAGATCAGAGAAGCTGACTTAAAGGCAGTCTATTAATTACGCCAACAATTTTTTGGTAGTTTTCACCTCCTCTTCTCCTCTGTTAGCTTGCCAAACTTCTTCAGACCTCCTAAAAATTTACGTCAGCATTTGATTACCCCCACCCCCTTTCTCACCCTAAAAATCAAATTAAAATGGAAAAAATAAAACATTATTTTAAATAGACTAGTTTACAACTAAAACAAAAATGTGGTTAAAAGTAAAATGTTTAGAAAAAAAAATTATCAATTTCAAATAAATATACAGGAGCACGCATGTTATTGCAGAAAAAATAACTTTGAATATCTTAAAAACCATTTGTATTACATCACTGAAAATTTTATTACAGAAAAATAAAACATTAATTTATATAAAAGGTTCAATTTTGTTCAATATAGCCTCCTCTGAAATCTACTACACTCTTCAGACGCACAGGCACTGCATTGCATTGCTTTGTCGCACCATGTCCGGACATAGATTCTTCCGTATCTTTGTTACTTCTGCTTTGAAAGCTGCTAAATTTGGATATACTTTGAAGGGTGTTGTGTTTACTATTTTAAATATATATCTACTAACTCTTATTTTATTTGTATTGAAGATTTATTATAATAACATACATATTTACAACTAGTGTTATATGAACAAACATAACTCACTCCAATATCTTTCTAACTAACGCATGAGTTCTAATGCGTTCCACATGAACGCACTCTTACCAATCATAATGTTATGTATTTCGTTACCAACTCTCAACAGTTCTCCCTGTTTGGGAAAGTTTCTATTATTACACAAATAAATAAATCATGTTTAAAAATTGTTAATAGTAAAACTTTATAGATCTATTAATTCGCTTTGGATATGATTTTCTTTTAACTATTTTTCTTTCGATATCATTTAATGGTGTTTCACGTTGTATACATTCGGCTTCAGGTTTTTTATAAATTGTATATTACGCGTCAACTCGTTGCCTTCTTGATCGACTACAATGATTAAATTTTGCTTTCTTTCTTTAACTATATATTTCTTGTTTAAATATTTTGAGTCTTATTTTCCTCCCGCCCAGTAAGCACAAAACGCATTTTAGACACTTATAGACGACTAAAACTAGTCTAGGTAAAGACACACTTTTGTAGCCGTTTTGAAGACATCTTTTAGACGTCTTTTATGAATGCGTTTTTAAAATAACGTTCAAAAGGCGTCTTTTTAAAAGATAAAAAGACGTCTAGAAGACGTCAATTTTTAAGACATCTTCTAGACGTCTTTTATAAAGGCGTTTTTAAAATGACGACTTTTTAAAGTTTAAAAAGACGTTTAAAAGACGCATAATAAATAGTCTAAAAGACGCATTAAAAGACGTCTAGATCAAGGCTATAAGACGTCTTTTCTGAGACCTGTTTATAAATAAGTCATTATGACTTCTTTTTGACGGCTTTGTCATTACGCGTTAAGTAGATGTCGTATATTCAAAGTAAAAACATAGTTTTTATTATTTTCAATAAATTGTTCAAATTTTAAGTGTAAATTACTTTAAATTATATTAATTTTTTACACAATTGCTAAAATTGTTGTCACAGGAATCACTAAAATAATTGCTATAATATTAATATATCTTTTTTTTATTAATAATTATTTTGCTTTTTTAATAGATAGTTGACTGATCATGATAATAAGTGAAAATGGCAAGAATAATATATAAAATAAATATCAGTATTTTTAGTTTTTATACACCCACAAGCCATATAATAAGTCAAGTATGCCGTCAAAAATTAGCTTTAGATACGTATGATAAATGTTATAATAACTAAAAGTAAATTATAAATGATTAAATACTGTTTGATACATAATTGTTATTGTTATTTACTACTTTCATCTTTGCAGCATAAACCATTGGTGGTGATAGCTATATATTATTTTGATTGCTGGTTCCTATGTATATTTTGTATGTACAAAATTATAGCAATATATGACGTATAAACACAATGAATATATACCACATACAACGCGAAAATGTTACGTCATCTACTTAAATTCATCTTAAAATAAACGTCTAAAATACGTCTAAAACGTGTTTTTATAAAGACGTCTTCATTTGGACGTCTTTTAGCCTTATGACCTAGACGTCTACAAGTGCGCTTTTTAGACCTCATTAAAGACATCTTTAAAACGTCTTTTAAACGTCTTTGTGCTTACTGGGCGGTTTATGGCGTATAACAAGAACCTGATCTCCTACTTTAATATTATCTCTCTTCTTTGCCTGATGTTTCATATCAAAATATTCTTGTACTTTCTAATACTTTTTATCTTGACGCTCTCTCACTTCTTTGTCATAAGGTGATTTTTCAATTTTTATTGAAGGAAACTTATTTTTGATATTTCTATTTAATAATAACGTAGCTGGTGGTTCGCCAATTGTAGCATGAGTTGCGCATCTATAATTTCAAAGCATGCTTTGAAGTTCCTCTGTCCAACTTTTTCCCATAAAATGAGTTGTTTTGATTGTTTTTCCTATAACTTGCATAAATTTTTCTACGATAACGTTCGCTTGCGGATATTGAGGCGTTATTTTAATGTGCTTTATGTCAACATTTTTAAAGTATAGTTTTAATTCTTCGCTTTGAAACGGTGATCTGTTGTCACTTCTAATTTTGTTAGGATAACCAAATATGGCAAATAATCTTTCTAGTTTACTTATGACGCTTAAAGCTAATTTTTTTTTAAATGTATATCTAAAGATTTATTAATAAAAGTGATAAGTCAAACTTCAGAAGGAAAACAAAGCCCTTTGTAATTGAAGATTATGAGTTGTACCACCTGGGTAAATCAAGTGTCAAGGTAAGCAGTTTATATAATTAGAGCTTTTTATACTAGCGTGATTTTGGAAAAATAAATACATTTTTATGTATCATGCTTTACATGATAATGAAGCCACATAGAATTTGTAGCACCGTAGTTAGAGCGCTGTACTCAAAATCTAGGGTTTCCGAGTTCGAAACCACTCGAATCACATAAACTTTGGAGGTTAGGTTAGAAATGGAGATTCATTGAATGTTAACCCCCATATGGCTGTGCTTTGGGATAAAAACACTAATAACCAAATAGAAATTAAAAAAATTATTATTTTTTGTTCATTTGGTATAACTAAGTTATACACTTGACTAGTATAATACATGTTCTATACATCTTCAAGTACATGTTCTAAAGGTGTGTACACTGTATATAAGATATTATTTACAGTGTTCATACCTTTAGTACAAATCCAAATAGACCTAAATCACGTTACTTATATTTATATTATGTTTCCAATTTTCCAATTCTTTTATAATTTTGTAATACTAGTCTAACATTTATTTCCTATAAATAAATTTTATTAAGAAATAATATGAAAATCAATTTTATAAATGAATACATTTTTTAATTTTTTTTTATAGAGAAAAGTTATTGGGTGTAAGGATGAGCAACACCATCTAATTAAGTCTGTGCATGATTGTAGTGATATTTCTAATGAGGCTAATGCATTATCTGGCCACATCAACATCAATTCAATATCAATACATACTAAAATTAGATTTTTTTTGGTTTAAAATGGTCTTTAGAATAGAATGAAATAAACTTTGATGTTATGACTAGCAATTAAAAATCTAGTGCATTTACTTATTTATTATTTATTTTCACAAGTTTTAAATATTGTTGTTTAATTTCAATTATTGTATTTATCTTTTCGCTCCATGTTTATTGTATACTTGGATATCTGCCCCCATTATTAAACTACATCGAATTATATCTTTGTCTGTGTTTTGAAGAAACAGTTTATATTGTTTTTTTATATATTTTTATTTATAATAGTTCTACGAAGTTTCAAACAATGTGTTAGGTTAAAGTGTCATTCGCGGACAATTTGTTTATTAATAATCCATAGCGTTTTCTTAATTGATTTGAACACAACAAAATTTTTAAATAATGTTCATATTAAAGGAAATCCCTTCTTCATTGCTAAAAAACAACAATCTTTCAAACTAAAAAAAAATTAAAAATGCAACAGTCACAAATAAATTTTGCCACAAAATATTTTATGGGAGTAAAAATCTTATAATGATAGATATTTAATATGAGATTTTTACTGGGAAGAAAAAATTTAGTTAGCGATTTTTAGCGGGAAGTAAAAGTTTAGGAAACGGTTTTTATTGGTGAGTAAAAATTTAATATGAGATTTTTACTGCGGAGTATAACAAACGCAGAAGTATCTCATACTACACCGACACTAATAATCCTCGATATGCCACTGGTTAAACTTTTTTGTGCCATTTTGGAGGAGTGTAAATTAGCTTGTATAATATGTAATGTTATAGGAGGTTATGGGCTCTCTCTTTTCTATTTGGTTGACATCATTAACGATGATGTTTCTTTGCTTAAAACATTTTAATAGTTCTAATGCATAATTAACTTGTTTTATTATTTAGTGGAGTTTACTAATTCACTACAAACAAAACTGCAAGCAATCGCTATTTGACAGAGTGACTGAAACTTTAGATCGTAAGTTTCAAGAAAAAGTGCGGGGAAAAGAACGGGAGAGAATTCCAAAGCATTAATAAGCTAGAGAAAAGTTGGAATTTACTAAAAATGAAAAAGAGCGTTGTCATTCATGGACAACTTTGTTGGTGTCGTTAAAAAGAAGTTATTTGATATTTTTTTAAAATTTCTAAGATGCACTATATGAAGAAAGCTTATGGAGAAATCCAGCATGCTGGACTTTATCTAAAGCTTTTGATCTTTCAAGAGTACTACCCCTTTCCTCATCGTCTCCATCTAATGCACATTAAAACCTTTCTGTTATGACAGTTAACTAGTCAGCTGTAGAATCAGATGATCCAAAGCCATTTTGATTGTCAGAGATTAAGTAGTTATATTCACGAAGAGATATTAAAAGTTTGTTAATTAAAGATTAAGATATCTTGCTAATAATACAAAGAGATTGGTTAGACGATAATATTAGGGGTCAATGTGTTTTCAAGAGTTTTTAAAGATTAAAACCACAGATGCCATTATCCAGAATGCAGAAAAACGAGATTTTTTTAAATACTTGGTAAATAGCTTATTTTGTATTGTTAATAAAACACTACTAATAGAAAAATAACAATATATAATTATTTATATGTAAGCCATCTTTATAAATTTACTGCATATATGTATATAAACACTTTTACTGTTCGTCCGCAAATAACAAAATTTTACGGCTTTACAGTTCAATCCACGAAAAAAGTTCTATAGAATTTTATATAAACTTTTGAAACATACGGCCAATAGAAATTTAATAGAATTCTATAAAACTTTTATAGAGTTTCTATTAACTTCTAAAAAAATCCTATTAAAATTTTTCTACTTTTTTTTTTATAGAAGAAAAAAGTTTTATAGCATTTTCTTTAGAATTTAATAGACATTCTATAAAAATTCTATAGAATTTCTATAGGCCATATGTTCCAAAAGTTTATAGAAAATTCTATAGAACTTTTTTTCCTGCGAAGAGTATTAAAGAGTGTTCTTGAGAACACTTTTGTCAGACTATCGCTGGACAAACAATGACAACTTTTGTCAGACTATCGCTGGACAAACAATGACAACTTTTGTCAGACTATCGCTGGACAAACAATGACAACTTTTGTCAGACTATCGCTGGACAAACAATGACAACTTTTGTCAGACTATCGCTGGACAAACAATGACAACTTTTGTCAGACTATCGCTGGACAAACAATGACAACTTTTGTCAGACTATCGCTGGACAAACAATGACAACTTTTGTCAGACTATCGCTGGACAAACAATGACAACTTTTGTCAGACTATCGCTGGAATATTTTCTGGATCACAAGCTGTCAATGTATTTAAGTGAGAAATAACTTTAGCAACGCAAGCAAGAGTAATCTAATGTCTAACAATAGATTAACTTGTTGCTCTGGAATGGCAAAAAGACGATAGTATTTAGTTTCATAAGTTGAATCAGAGGAAAAGTTCTTTGCAAATAAATCTGCTTTACCCTTGAGATAGATAATAGGATTAGAATCATGAATCGAAAAAGTCAATTAAAGATGAAATACTTCCTCCCTTTAATGATGACATTGTTAAATATTTTCAAAAAGTCTCTAGAACCAATGTTCTGAGATAAAATACAAGAATCTGGAAATTATGTAACTTAGCGTCAGATAGCATCTTTGTGCTTTAATTTCTTGCAATAATAAAAAAAAAAGTGGTTTTCAGCAGAATTGATCTAGAGAAGCAGATGAAGAAATTGATGAGAAATAGCAGTCGCACAATAAGATAAAAACAATGGGGTTAAATGAGACTTTAAATTGACAAGAAGAAATAAAAATTTTCATGCTTTCCTGAATCCAGGAGATTACATAGCAGGGGAATTATCAGCGGAAAAAATAAAAGTACTGATATCTTTGAGTGTGAGTTTGACGAAAAGATATGAGATAAAAGTTTCAGTAAGATTATAGTATGGTCTAAAGGAGAGCTAGGAGAAACTAAACACAAATTAGGGTTAGAGACAAAAAAAAAAAAGTAAAGTTTAGTAGTTAGAGTTGTCTGAAAAATGATTCACAAAGTTTGCTATCTGAGTAAGAGATGAAAAATTTTGAACTTTCATGAGGAACGATACTAAAGACAAGTCATTCAGAGTGATAAGCAATTAAGTCGCCAATAACAATATTGGCTGACAGATAATAAAGAAAAAGCTTGGTCTATTTAAGGTTGCTTCTCTTTATCGTGCTCGCCATTTTCTCACTTCTGATTTAATTCTCTAGCTCTACAAATTTCTTTTCCCCCGTATGGAATACTGTTGTCATATTTGGGCATTTCTTCTAGTGATGCTCTTTCTCTTCTTGACAAAGTCCAAAAAAGCATTTTAAACATAGTTAGAACTGCTCTGCCTGTCAAGCTCGAGTCTCTTTCCGTCTTTGAAAGCTTGTGCCTCTTTCTCTATTCTACAATTACTATTATGGTCGCCTCTCTAAAGAGCTATCATTTGTAGTTCCATCAATCAAAACTTATTCTTGCTTGACTCGTCATTCAACAAAGTCTAATCCTTTTACTGTATCTATCCCTGGATGCTCTAAAAACTTTTATTCATGTTATTTTTTTCCCCGCACTTCATCCCTTTGAAACTCTCTCCCATCGTCATGTTTACTTAACTCCACAACCTACAACATACAGAGTGGGTACGTACTTATAAAAGACGTCTTTTAAACGTTCAATAGACGTCCAAAACTTTTAAAAGACGTTTAAAAGACGTCTTTTTTACGCATCGGGCTCACTGGGTACTCTTTAACTCTATTTTTTTTTCTAGTAACCCCCAACTTTATAGTAGTTGCTTGTAGCCTTGTTGAGAGTGAGTTAAAACAAAATAATAATAATAAAAAATTTGTGCAGTGTTAGTTAAAAGGAAAACAATAAACAATATAGAAAATAGTGATTGTGAGGGCGTACTAAAAGGAAACACATAAAACAATGGTCAGAGGATTCAAACTTGATTTCACGACTTATAGGAGAATTGATGACAAAGTAAAATGCCCAGCCCAAGCATGTGACTATTGGAGTCTTTATGACTCAAAGGGTGATATCCACCAACACTGAGATCCATTAAATAGCCATTAAGTTCAAATTAGTCTCACAAGACAAATAAATCTCACAAAATGCAAGTAGATCTTGCCAATTTTGTGAGAAAAAAGATTCAAAATGTAAAAAGTTACTTTAGAAACTTTGATTATCTATAAAAGATCAATTGAAAAAATAAGGTGGTGAAGAACGTTTAGTATTTTTGGTAGTATAGTCATGTTTTAGGTTTATTAAAAAAATTTAAATTCGTAGATAGTGTAATACACCCCTTGCAACAAGCTATGTAGTTGCTTTGGTTCCACTAATCAATCTAAAGTCATAAAAAAGGCTCTTTATGTGGCCTCGATAATACATAACAAAAGTACTAAAAAAGACACTATCCATGCAAAACACGTCACAATTAATACTTTGACATTATACTGCTGTCGGTGCGATCAATTTCTGAGAACTACTATAGTGTTTGTGTAACTATCAGCCATCCATAAAAAGGTTAAACTTTTTTTGGAGTTTTACCGTTATTAGTAGATAACAGAATAAGTTGCCATTAAAAAGAGGGATAAAGTCAAGAAAATCCAGTGTTCATCATTCAAGACAGGAAACAATGGAACACAGGTTTACATCTACGCCAGCCTAATAGTTTAAAATTGGGCAAAGCTGGTTAACGAAAATTTCTTATTACTCTTAAAGTCTTTGCCTAGATAGTTGCTGAAATGCAGTTAACACTTTTCCAAGATAGGTGTTTTTACAAAGACACCATCTCAAGTATTTACTAAATAAGATCCAAAAGCAGGGGGTATTTTAGTTAACATCTAGATTTTGTCTATAAACGAAAATCTCACAAGGCAGTAGACATAAGACAGCTTCTTTGAAAATGAAAAACAAGTTAAGAAAAATATTCAAAAGCAAATATGTAACAATTTTTTAAATACTCTATTTTCAAAGAATCCTAATTAATTAAAATTTCTTTGTATACTCTATTTATAAAGTACTTGTATTTTATAAACTACTTTGTACTTTATAAAAAAAATTACATACACTTAACATTTATCCAGAATACAACTAAACCTTTTTTTTTCCGAATCAAATAAACCTAATTGTAACCATAATGCTTTTCAGGTAGTAAGTTCTACTGTAATAAGTCCTGTGAAGTTGGTTCTTGTCAATATACTAACGAATACTCAGACAGTCATTATTTAAATCGGTATTTACAAATAAAGTGAGGAGGTGTTTAAAAAGAAAACAAAAAAATAGGTATAATACAAACAACTACAATTGACTTGAATCAAAAAAACATGATGGGTGAGAATTTCAAAGTGATTTTGTGTGCTAAACAAGTTAAGTTATGTTTTTATAAATTCTATAAAATTTTTAAACAAAAATTATTGTGTAAACAGATAATAAGTCATACAAGAATAATTTTTGTTATTATGAGCAAGAAAAAATTACTCTTTAAATATTGACATTGTTTAACTTTTCTAAGAAAGTTTGTCTAAAAGTTTATTTAGAATTGGTGTCTATTTTGAATAATCAAAACTTAATATCAAGATTAAAATACACCAACTTTTTTTTCTGTGGACTTTTTTTGTCAGTTTGTGCTTTTTTTAAAATTGTAGCATTATCAAAAATATCAAAAATTTCATTATAGATATTGTTTTCAGCAAAATTTTTAATGTAAAATAATGTATCAATATAAGAACTACTGAGGAAACGTTTCACATTCCCTGAAGTTACTGGAAACAAAATTTATAAATTATTTTCATTTTATAGTTTTTTTTAACCATAAAAAACATAGACAATTTAAGTAAAATATATCTATTTTTATTATCTAAAAAAAAAAAAATATTTTTTCTGTATATATACAACAAATTAACCTCTTTCATTTATGTGCTTTGCCTATTTTAAATTTGTTTTTAAATTAATGCTATTAAAATTGCTCTTCTATTAGTTATAATTTTTATCCGGACAAACTGTTCAAGTTAAGTTTGTGCATAAAATTGTTCTTTGTAATCTTAATACACTTTATTTTTCCCTCACACATATACTATAGTATATGTGTGAGGGTTAAATAAAGTATATTAAGTATATAATAAAGTATATCAAGATATAATAAAGTATATTAAGATGTATAATTTTGTCAAATGGTCACACACAAGTAGCTACTTGTGTGTGACCATCTGACAAAATTATATGCCTAAATTGTATAAAATAAAACTTCCTCCTTATTTTATGGTATAAGTAAAATAACTGTTTTTTTGCAAGTATTTAAAACATTTTTACGATGAAGAATTTTATCGAGAACATAGTATATATATTTTATTTTATCTTATATTTTTAACTGTTTTTTTTTCTGTTTTTTCGTATGTAAACAGCAGAGCGCCATTAGAATAAAGTATATAATAGTCAAATTTTTTAAGAATATTTGAGAAACTTTTTCTGGGAATTTTAATTATTTCATGTGTTTAGTATCTCAATGGTCAGTGTGGAGCGCTTGGTCAAGTTGTAGCTCAACTTGTGGTATTATGCAAAGAACTCGTGTATGTTCAAGCCTTTTATTACTCAATTGCATCGGCAGCAACACAGAATTAATGTTCTGCAGCAGTCAAGGTTAGTTGTATTTAGCTTTGATAAAATATATATATTCTTTTGTATTTAACTTTAGATCGGTTTAAGAGTAATCACACATTAACATACTGACTATTCCACTTTCTTGATATGAAAATAATTGTTTTAGGGGAATTGTTTATAATAGTTTGTTTTAGATTGTTTAAAATAATTTGTTTAGTTTATTTTAGTGCGTGCAATCCCCCCCCCCCCCCTCCTTCATGTAACATTAACAAAAGCAAAGCTTAACAAAGTTTTATATTATTTTTATATTTAGAAATTCAAAAAAAAATTCATTTCAAGTTATGAAATTGTATTTTATTTAGTTTTAAAACTTTGAAATTTTAACTTTAAAATTTTATTTAGTTTTAAAACGTTTACTTTACTTAAAGCAATTTGACAAAAAACATGTAACAATTTTTATTTGATTTGATTTATCCAAATCAAATGAAAATGTGTGTACATAGTATCCAATTTTTATATTTTTTTACAAATAAACTTAATTATTTTTAAAAAAGGCTTAGTTTTTAAGCTGTTTTAATAAAATATAAAATTGTAAGAAAAAATATTTTTGCATCATAAGAAAAAATATTTTATTATTATCATTAGTTTTTTTTCCTGAAAAATGTGTCTGCTTAATTTAAGTGTGCATTTCAATGTTACTGCTCAGTGTTACTGCAGTGCAGTAACACTGAGCAGTAACATTGAAATGCACCTGTTTATACTTGTTTATACAGTGTTTGTATAAACAAGTATACAGTCTGTATACTTGTTTATACAGACACTGTATAAACAAGTATACAGAGCAAAGCAAAACATTGCAAAGAAAACCATAAAACACATTGATCATACTTGCATATTTCATCAATCCATCAAATAATTTGCAGCTCGGTTTAGTGAAATATTCTCTCTGTATTTATGTATAGAAAATTCTTTAGAATATTTTAAGCTATGGCCACAAGTACAATTTGATTTAAAGGAATAATTTTCTTTAAATTCAACTACAATTAAAAATTGTATACAGTTGTATTGTCACCTCATTATTTTAACAAGTGAGGAGGTTTTAAAACAAACAAGTCAATCTTTAAAGCATTATTTACTGATTGAAGGCATTAGTTTAGTGATGTGATGCTGTACTCTTTCTAAATGGCAATATCTTGTTTTTGATGAGGAGCCTATTCTGGTACAGCAAACTCAATTAGTTGTCAAATAAAAGAAATAAATAGAGATTTTAATAGTCCTGCATCAAATCTAATAAAAAATTTCCTTTTTATGCCAACATGTAACTTGCTTTGCTTGCACTTGATAATACTTGATTTTTCTTTTTCAAGTTATCTAAAAAAAATTATATCTAGGACCTTTTTTGAATCTAATGCTTTAAATTTACAATTATTTGAGGCGCCTCTCAGGAAAAGGAACCATATCATAGTTTCTAGATTCGGAGATACACGTGTTTTAAGAAAAATATATTGTAATAACTGTAATTTCATTTTTATAACACTTCCTTGAAAAATTTTGTTGAATTTTCAATAATGATGCTATCAAGCTAATTTTTGTTTTATTTTTAAGACTTGGTACCTTTTCCTGTGAGGCGCCTCATTTATATAAGTTAGATATCTCTTTTTTTATACCCATCTCTTTTTAAATACCATCTCTTTTTTATACTCATTGTGCACAGCTAAACATTTTTCAATACTAAAACTGAGCAACCATGCATTTGCAGAGTTTAAATCACACTGTCTGTTATGTAACTCATCAGAGGAACTAATTGAGCTGATGACTCAAGTATCATGATATTTATGTCATCAGTATACAATTTTAAAATATTTTTTAGAGACTCAGGAAGATCATTTAAATAAAGTAGAAAAAGTAGTCGACCCAATATGTATCCTTAAGGAATTCCACTGTACACTTCAGTAAATGTTGAAACATTATCTTTTTTAACAACTCTCTGTCTTCTTTAGATAAGAAAGCTCAAAACCAATGGAGTGCCAAGTCACTAACACCTTATACTTCAGGTTTTTAGATAATCTTTTGATGTGGAACTGTATCAAATGCTTTTGCAAAATCAAGTAAAACTTCATAAACTATTGTTTATATTGGCTACAAGATTTGAATTAACTCGTTATACATTTCTTGAACATGAAAATTTGGTATGAAAACACTAAAGCTAATCAATTCTTGTAAAAATATTTGAGTTAAATTTTGAGTTCATAATCAGCTTTTCTATACAAATATTTCTCTTCTTTATTTACATTCATTGTTTTATTTTTAAGAGTAAAATCAAAACACAATATCAAATGATCTTTGGATATGTTTCCTAAAATAAACTTACTAGATTTATAATTGCTGACTGAATATTAAGTTGTGAATATTAAATCTAAAATATTTACAGCAGATTTATTTCATGTTTGATATGTTTGTATGTTATCATGCTAATAAGGTAACTGTCATTTATTATTTTATAGGAAACATGCTCAATGCCTGATAATCCTTTAATCAAGTTTATTGAACCATTGGAACAACTTATCCCAGGAAAACTAAAATCATTAACTCTGATTAGATCTTTGAAACCTTTTTGGTTGACATATTCAAATTAATTTTAAATATATTTTCAACATCTGTCATATATAGATATTTATCATTGCTGAACTAGATAACAGCCCAGACCATTATTGTTAAATTCATATGAAATAATGTATATATATAAATATATATGTATATATATATATATATCTTTATTTATATATATATATATATATATATATATATATATATATATATATATATATATATATATATATATATATAATATGTAATTTATATATATATATATATATATATATATATATATATATATATATATATATATATATATATATATATATATAATATGTAAATTGACAACAGATGAAGAGACTGCTTAATAGTGGTTATAACCCTCTCTCAACTCTATAACTCCGAAACACGAACCCTGACAAACAAGGCCGCTGCGCGGAAAAACAAGTTGAGCGCGGTACTACCATTGTCGTGGTGGGGATCGAACTCAGAATCTCTTGCTTATATACTATCAAGAAAGTGCTTGATGAACTATTATCAAGATAGTAGTTCATTGAGCACTTTCTTAACATATACTATCAAGAAAGTGCTCAAAAGTCAAAGGAATAATATAGTAGAAAATAAAACTATATGATTTTCACAACTCTAAGTTTCATATTGATGCAATCATCAAGTGAAATACAAATACCCAGCGAACATGTCCTTTTGGGCCCTATATGGATTTGCCTAAGTGGGCTCTATGTGAGCTTTATATAAGGGCCCAAAATGGGCTCCATGTGGATAGCCCTTGAATACAAATTTGTATTCAAGGGATAGCCCACATGGGGTTTATTTAGGGCCCGTATATATAGTTAAAAAAGTGTTAAATTCCATATTATTTTCTAAATTTAAATGCTATTCAATAATGAGGCATTTTGAATCATGGAAAATCAGTAAAAAAATTTATCGCTTAACTTAACTTAGCCGCATGTTTATTTAAAGACCATGAATAATCATGTGTCTTGAGAAAATAATGTAGTTTTAATTTTTCTTGAAGAAATATATATATAGTGGCTATATCAAGATTTTTTTATATTATGGATTTTTATATAACACTTTTTATATAACACTTTACGACATTAAAAGACAGTACATGCATACGACTTTTAGTATCTTCTTTGTTATTGTTTTCGTGTTCGAAAAAAAAACACAAACTAAAAATATTAGTCCTTATTTGGCCTTAGCGTTTTTCTAGTTACTGTGTTTCTTAAATGACCGATCTGCCTTTCTCTATGCTATCTTTCTAACTTTAATATATTTGCTTTTTACTAAAATAATTTTTTTTTTCCCAACAATCTCAGTCCTTACAAAGACCAGGGTGCTCAGAAAGGAATATACTGGTTAAATGTTGCTTGCGATGGTATGAGGTACTCCGGTAAGCAATTAGCTGGAGGAGTATAAATCACAATACTGCACTTACTTTATAAAAAACCCCTTATGTTTTTCAAATGTAATTAGCCTCAAAGCTTTTTTAAAATTTTAAACTAAATTCAAATTAACTCATTTTTGAAAAATTTTCTTTTTATTTAAAATAAAATCATTTAAAAAAACTCTGCTATCAATGTCATGTATTAGTGGTAGTAAAAGAGTTTTAAATTTTATTTGAAAATTATTTATTTAAACATTAAAGAGAACTTATTCAAAAAAGTTACTCAATCAGTTTTAAAAGACTGAAAAAAAATTTATGTATAATAAAGTTTTTGAAAGTGTATACGCTATTTGAGTTTTTATAAACCCGCAACCAAAAATGTAAATAAAATGACACGTCTGGAAGAGGACATAGTAAGGTGTATGTTTTAGTTAAACTTAAGGTTTGAATTCACTTATTTATATTTGACTATTACTTTTACTAATTTATTATTTAAATACTGTGGTATATTTAATAATGTTTATTACTGTTTACATTTTTCTTCCTATATTAGATTTCCTATTATACTTCTATAAAGCTATACTTAAGTCCTAGATTTATGACTACATTTTAAATTATATGAATCTAATTTAAAAATAAATAATTATTCAAATTATTATAAAAAATTTAAATAAATAAAAAAATGGGTCCCACATATGCTGCCCATTTGGGCCCCAATTCACACTCAGCGACAATTTTCCTTGGGCAGGATGTGGGCAACCCATTTTGGCCCCTTAAAGCTGCCCACTTGGTCCCCATGTGGGGCCAAATATGACTTGCTGGCTGGGTATAGTTTTTTCGTTAAAAGTTATAATATATAAAGTTAAAAATTGTATATATATATATACATATATGAAAAAATACTTTATTGTTTGATTTTTTTCTAACCCTGATTACATCGATTTTCTAACCCTGATTACAACGCTGATTTCAATGTTTATTTTATGATTAACACTTTATATCATGCAAAGTCAGAATGAAAAATTTAAAAATTTCATACTTGTTGTTTTTTGGCTCAATTATTCAGTTTTTTTTGAACTCATTATAAAAAATCTTTCTCCTCTACCCACAAAATTTTATACAGTTTATTATATTTTTATACATTTTATAGTTAAAGTTGTTCAAATTTTTATAATATGTTAAGATATTTTAAATCTTTGGAGTGCTTGGTCAAGTTGCAGTACATTATGTGGTTATGGAATAATGAATAGAACAAGAGAGTATTGTATTTTCCCTGCTGGAGTTATTGGCAAGGCTTTTGATTCAGTGCCATGCTTCAGTAACAGTTCATGTGAAGGTAGTTTCAAGTTTAATTATGTCTTCAAGATATACTACTATCTTTCATAAATTAAAAAATAAATAATTTTTTTTATTTTATAATCAAGGAAATTTGAAATATAATTCAAACATGGCTGCGTTTGTTTATGTTTTCATTAATTTTTTTTACAGATTCATTAATCTTGTTAAATGAAATGTCTCTGCAATCTGATCATCTTCTATCAACTTTGAATAATTTTTTTGACGAATTTGTAGTATCATTTGATGTGTATTTTAACAAAGCTAGTGGTCTTGGAAATGTTTTGCAGATATTAGATAATTTTGGTAAAGAATGCATTGATGTTACATTTTTTTATGGCAGTTTAAATATATTTTCTGGCATTAAATTTGTGAGTTATAATATTGGTTTAAATTCATGGAATTCAATTCAAATTTCACAACTCTGCAATAATGGAAATTATTCTAATACCATAACTGTTAATGATACTGTTGTGTTTGCTGATATTATACAGCCTAACATATTTTCCAATATTAGTGTGTTTACATGCCTCGGTGTTTGCATGACTGGTGCAATGATGAAGAATTTTTCCCTAGTTAGTTATACACATGGTAAACCTTTCTTTTCTGCTAGTTAACAAATTAAGTTTGATTTTTTTAATTGTTTTTTGTTATTGTTGTTGCTGTTGTTGTTTTTTGAAAATTTACTAAACCTATTTTTAGGTTTTTAATTTTTTTTTTAATTTGTTTGTTTTTTTATTTTTGATTTTTCCATGAGTTTCACAAAACAATTGCTATTGCCAGCAAAATATGCTTCTTGACTATTAGCTATTTAGTAAAAATTATTATTACAAAATTTTAATTTTAAAATAAAACTTATCTATATTATACTTGTGAATATTTTGCAATATCTCAACTTTATAAAATATTATTAATATAAAGCTATTAATATTCAAAACATCATAGAGCTGTTTTATAATTATTTTACTAAAGTAGTGCCCAAGGTTAATTGTATATTTTTGTTAATGGTGCTAAATAAAGATGTTTTAAAAAGTATTACAAACAAAGAAAAATGTGATAATAGAACCTCACTTTAAATATATAAAAATCTAAGTAAATAATCTGGGTTGTTAATGAGTAACTTTACGGTTATGTAATTTGTAATGGAGAGGTAACAATCATAAAGGGGTATCCTAACTATTTATAAGTGTAAAGCCTTACAGAGATTAAAAAATAAGTTAAATTTGATAAATATCTATTAGCTTTTTTTTTCTACAAATCAAATTTTACAAATTGAGAAAACTCAAATCGTTGTATAATAAATTTCCTTTGAAGAGCAAATTCAAAAATATTAAACCTTGTAATATCGGTTATAATAAGTAATAATATTACATGGTGCTGTGGTATTTTTACACCAAAACCTAAAATATATAATTAAGTTTTTTTAATTCTGATTCATTCCGAACAAGGCTGCAAATAACCAATATTAAGTTGGGAGTTACTGGAAAAAAAGAATAGAGTTAAAGAGCAAGGAAATAGTTGATAGAAGACTTGAAAAGCTGTAGGTTGTGTGAGTGTGGAAAACATGAAAGTAGGAGAGAAGTTCGAATGAGTCAAAATTCAGGGGAAAAAATTATACAAATATATGTTTTTAGAGCATGTATCTGTGTACAGTAAAAAGATGTGAATATGCTGAACAAGGAGTCAAGCGAGAATTAGTTTTGGTTGATAAAATTTTTGTTTTTTGTTTTTTTTTCTTTTAATATCTTCAAATCCAACAATTCTGCAAGCAACCACTATTAGAGTTAGGATTTACTGGAAGAGAAAGATGATGTTTATAAAGCAAGATAATGATTAACAGACAACTTGATTGATTGCAAATTGTATGAATCAGGAAAGCAGGAAGAAGACAGCTAATGTTCGAGGGGAACATTCACAGAAAGATGAGACTTAATTAATGACGAGTAACATAAGAATGAATTTTAGTAGATGGCACAATGGATGCTAGCTCTTTAGACCAGTTCCCATTATAGTATTTATCACAACAATGTGATAATGGTTGAAGGTTTAAAATGCATATTTGCACCTTTTCTATAAGAGAAAGGGCATCATTTGAAGATCCACTATAGATATGGCAGCAATATTCCATAAAAGGATAGGTTTGACATTTATAGTTTTTAAAGATAAATAATAGAATCCGGAGTAAGAAAGTTGCAAGCACAATAAAGGGATGCAACCTTAGCAGATGCTAATTTTGCAATCGATTTGATATATATTTCAAGGAAAGATTGGAAGTAAGAGTTAATCCTAGAAGAAGAAGGGTAGATGACTCATTGAGTACATTATTGTTCATAAATATAGGAAGATCTAGATTGTTGTGCCATTGAGAGCCACATGCTGTAGCAGATCTTTCTCAAGCTCAAATGCCCCCTCCATCAGTAATCAGAGAGTTTTGGATTCTTATCAAGACAAGAATAAATGGTAGTATTATTAGCGAACAATGTCACCTTAGATGTGAGAATTTCAGTGAGATTGTTAATGCAAGTTAAAAAAAGTATAGGGCCAAGGATGGAACATTGAGGAACCCCTGAATTTTTATGATATAATTGCTTTCCATCTATACCTTGGTAAATTTTAAAAAATTGAAATACGTTGCCACGATGACACCTCTTTTGTTGTTTTTTAGTCCTCTCAGATTATTAATTCTTGTTGCACTCCTCCTATTCTGTTTGTTTTGCATCTAAATCATAGTACAAATCCAGAGACATTAACAATAGCTTCATTGAATTTACATTAAAATTTTTAAAACTTTGTTAGATCAAGATTTATTTGATTGATTTATTTTGCAAAAAATTTCATAATTGTATCTAGAGTTGTTTTTATGTGTTTTGTACTTTATAGTCATCATATTATTTTTTAGAATAAACTAACTGTAAATTATATAATTATTAAATAATAGTTAACTTAATATTGTTAAAATATAGTTAAATTAATATATTTTATCTAACTATATTAATTATGACAAGTTTGTTATGGTACTACATGTTTTAGTTACATAATAATAAAATTTAATATTTTATTATATTTAGTACTTAGACAGGATAAAAGATTTTTATTAACTTTTTCTTAAAGCTGTACAATAAATACATGTTTTTTTATTATACAAAAATTTAAAGTAGGGTAGAGCAGGGCATATAGGGGCACTTAAAAAACAAAAATTTCCGGATAAAATAATCATAGTTAACACTGTTTTTTATAAATTTTCTTAAATTCATTGATATAAGAAAATAAAAAAATAAAATAAAAATTTCTAAAAATAAGTTATGACAACCAAAGTAATGAAACACTAGACTAGCAAAACTTTTACATTTTGCAAGTAGGTGGGTCAAAATGGGACAGTTGAAAAGCAGCAGTTAATCTTCAATTGTAAAGCTTTAAAAATAATGAAAAACAAATGCTATATTGCCTAAATATGTTCAGACATTAAACTCTCAGTAAAAGTAACCTACCCATAGGAACTACATGCCCATACACCCATACACCACAAAAAACAAATAACAGATAAAATAAAACTTTTTTTCTGTGTGTTTTATTATAAAATACCTCTGCTCTACTCTAACCTATGTATTATTAAATTGGTAACTGCTACTAAATTTGAAATTAAAAAAAAAAATTTATGGATCACATAAATCACACAAAAAATATCCTGAAACTATTTGGCAACATTTTTGATGAGCTGGCTTATTAGCAATATGCCAAAGTACTTGAATATGCCATTTGTACCAGTACATTTTCTAATTTTTCTAATCTTTTCTAATCCTTTTTACTTACAGCTAAAATTTCATCCCGTTTTGGATGATTAATCTTTCTTATATAATTTCTTACCTTCTTTGTTTACATTAAACACTATTATTAATTAAAGCTAAGTTATAAAAATAAGAATTTCTTTAAATTTATTGCTAAAATTGATTTTCTAAATAAAAAAATAATAATTTAGATTAAAAATAAAATTATCAAACTGTAAACATCATCACGAAATGGTAGTAATGTACTCAATTATGTAAATAGCTTGTTGTACCGATATGCCCCACAAAAATCATTTTACTGAAATTAATACTATTCAAAAAGTTCAATTCCAAATTAAGTTCAATTCAAAATATTTTTTTGAAACCCGATTCTAAAAGAGGATAAAAAATACTGTCTGAAACAGGGCTGTGGAGTCGGAGTTGCAGAGTTGTGACATTTTTAGCGGGGTCGGAGTAGCTAAACAAAATTGCAACTCTGACTCCAATAGTAAAACTTTTCGGTATTGCACGTGCATGTATAAAACATTCAATTAACCTTATGTTCATACTAAACCTCAAAGAACATTTCATAAATTTGTCAAAAAAAAAATTTTAACTTATCGCGTAATATTTTTTTAAGAATTTAAAGAATTTTGTAAAACTTTTGCTTTAGAGTTGGAGTCAGAGTTGGAGTCGGAGTTGTAGTTATACCCAAAAAATTTCAACAACTGCCTAGTGGGCACCAGACCAAAAAAAGACGTATTTTGAACGTTCAAAAGACATCTAAAATGTTTAAAAGACGTCTTTTTTTCGTCCGTGCCCACTGGGTGGAGTCGGGGCTGTTATTTTTTTTTTATGATTCCATACCCCTGGTCTAAAAAAGATAAACTTTTTATAAATAAAGCAAATTCGCAAGAGCTCAAGATAAATCTTTTGTCGCTGTATTGCTTAAAAAAATACACAAATTTTGTTTTTCGCAAACTTACTGATGCATTTTGGTACTTTTAATGCATTTTAGTATTTCTAAAATTAAATTTTTTTTGCAATAATGAAGCCTAATAATTTAAAATGTTTTATCAAAAAAAAAAAAAAATTTATTATTTTTAGCTGAGATATAAGGCTTTAGACATAACTATCACATTATGCCCCGCTGTCCCGACATGCCCTGCTTTATCCTATACGTATTTTATTTACGATTGGATGTAATGCCTTTCAATTGCTCATTCAAAACTCATTCAATTGTTCTCCATTAAAGGTTGTAGAATGTATTTTAACTTTGTTCTCCATTATAGATTGGAGAATGTGTTTTAACTTTATTATGTTAATGTAATGTGTAGGTGAAAAATTAAAAAAAATAGAAGAACATAGAAGATTATTATATCTTAGAAGATAATGTTACTAAGATTTATAGTACCATAACAAGGTTAGAAATAATTTGTGTTACTGGTTTTATTTATAGTTTATAAAACCCAAATATGCTTTAATGGCACATTAAAAGTTGCACTGCTAAAATTAAGACATGCTTTTATTTTATATTAAAATTATATTTAATCATATCATTTATATTTTACAAACTGTTTGTATTAATATAAATTTATGTAGATTTTTTGTAAAAACATTTTAGTTATTTGGTCACAGTGGAGTGAATGGTCAAATTGTAACTTATCCTTGATTTCAACTAGAACTCGTATTTGTAACAAAAATCAATGGATAGATTGTATTGGATTGAACACAGAGATGATTTCATGCAACATTTCATATAATGGTATATTTATTTTTGTAAAAAAAAGAAAATCTTTGCTTATCTACTTTTATAGCTTTAAAACTAAACCAAAAAAAAATCTCTTTAAATTCTTATTGAATTAGGGTATAAACAAGACCTTAAAAAAATTTAATTTTTTATTATGACTGTAATAAATATAAAATATGAGTTTTATGGTTTCAGTGTTAAGCTGGTTCATCCTCAATAGATTACACCAATTTTACATAGTGAATTAAGTACAATAAGTTCTTAAATATGCTTAGTATTTATTTTTGCAGCATCATTAACAACACATATGTTTTTGTTCTATAAAATAAACTCCTGCAGCTGAGGGTGTTTAGGAGTATCTAAAGGGTATCAGGTTGCCTAATAAAATTTGTAATCTCCTTAATTTGAGGGTTTTAAACTTTATATGCTCATAATTTTTTAATGCTAAGAAATTATTTTACAAAATTTTAAAATTTATTAATTAATAATAATTTGGTTAGGAATAATTTAAAAAAATCTTTTGTCAAATTATTGCTTTCACATTTGGGGTATGTGCACCTGAAATTTTAGGGCTTTTTTTGTTTCCCAGGCTCTAATCATTGCACATTTTTTTAAAACATCCTTATTTGAAATAAGTATAAACATAGTATAAAGGTTTGGAGTTTCACGTCTGGAAGTTAGCTATCTCAGACATTAAAAAATGTTGTTTTTTAAATAAAAAGATTTACTCTTTTATTAAAAGGTTTATAATGTTTCTTTTATTACACCTTTTTAATATAATTTTATAGTGTATAACTTTATTTTTATAAATTTTATAGTATGTGATTTTATTTAGCCTTATGGACACCATGGACGGTTTGGTCAAATTGTAGTGTTTTATCTGGCACAGCATTTTCAATGAGAACAAGAGAGTGTAATATATCAAATAGTGCAGAAAGCTGTTTTGGCAACATCGCAGAAATTATTCCTTGTTCTTTAAATATATCAAGTTTTGGTTAGCTTTTTTTTGCAAAAAAATTTATTTGTTTAATTTTTTTATATAATTAATAATAATAGCATCAACATCAGTGACATCATCAACATCAATGACATCATCAAACAACATCTGCCACTGGTGTTGATGCTGTATATTATTTATTTATTTCATAATTTTATAGAGAGAAAAAATTATAATCAAAAAATCTTCTTAAATTCTATTCAAGAAGATTTTTAGTTTATAGTTAAAAACTGTCATTTTCTGTTCACTAAAATCTAAAATAATAATTTAATTAAAAAATAATTTCTTTTTTTGATAATATTAGAATAAATATCAGAGTGACAAGTTTTTATTCTTTAAAAAGAAAAATGTTTATTATTTCATATTATAAATATATTATTTGGTTAAGACTGCCTGTCTTAACCAAACTCTCAGTCGATGTAGTAGCACTTCCTTGTTGCAGCAGGGTTTAAGATAGTCGATGTAGCAAGACTCCTTTGTAGCAGCAGGCTATAAGATAGTCAATGTAGGAACACTCCGTGCATATAACATGCATATAACGGTAAAAAAATAAAAATAAAATATTCAGAAAGTTTTTATTTAAATAAAAAAAATTCAGAATACAGAATATTTTTAAAAACATTTTAGTATATATATATATACACATTGTTAAAATGACTGCTGATAAAATAAATCCTTTGCTACTATTAAAAATGGTTCCTTATTTTTATTTTTTTACATTGTTTCATATTTTAGCAGTAATATATTTTTATTGTAAATAATTAATAACACTTTTATTGTACTCATGAGAAGAACAGTTTGCATGCTATACAGTAGCATTTTGTTAAAACACTTTAAATATAGGGGGAGCGGGGAACGTTTTCATACTTTTTATATTTTTCTAGATATTCTAAAAACTAATTGGTCAACTTTCTTAAAAACTTATTTATATGGTAGTTTATCATTATAGTTATTTAAAAAACAACTTTGGAAAGCTTTAGACCATTTAAGTATAACATGCCACCATTTCTAAAGAAGGCTCCATTGTATGACAATTTACCCCACTGTCAGGGCAAGTTTTTATGATAAGAGGGGCAAATTGTCATAATTATATTAACAAGTATTATTAATCATTTATAGTTTTAACATATATTATATATATATATATATATATATATATATATATATATATATATATATATATATATATATATATATATATATATATATATATATATATATATATATATATATATTATATATATATATATATATATATATATATATATATATATATATATATATATATATATATATATATATATATTGTATATATATATATATATGTATCATTTATAGTTTATTAAAAATAACATATATAATTTATACACTAAAACAATTTGAAAATGACCATTAAAAATCATCATCAGAGTTGCAATTATGACAAATGTAGCTGGACCCTCCTGCTGCACATTCTTCATGTGCCCAGCTTGAGCACTAACAACATTTGATCCATTTTTCAGCATCTCTGCTATTAGCCCAAGTATCTATGCAAATGATAAAGTAGTTTCCATATTCTGATGATGATAAGTCTTGTGTATGTTTTTTTGTTGCTTTGCCTTTCCCATTCCCCTTAGCAGAACTTTTGCATTTTTTTGGCGATGGCTGTGATCATCTCACAGAATTTTAGAAAAGGGTATCAGTCAATATAGACAAAGTTTTCTTCTTGCGTGTGTTTTTTGAAGGCATTCTTTCAAGTGCTTTTGGTAATGGCCTCACTTTATCTGGATTTGCACACACAGAGCATTCAGAAATTGATTTCTCTTGAAATGTTGAAGACTCCTGTGATAACAAAATTGAACTCGAAACAAAAGTAGATTGTTCTAGTGAGACTGTAACCTTTGAAGCTTGAGGCATTGTTAATTGAGAATTGGTTTTGACTGGCATAGTTATTTCTGTTACTGAACTTGGAGCAATGTCCAAATCTGTAAATATTTGAAGGTTAAATGGGTGGATGCCACATGAAAAAAAGCCGCTCAGTATGTTATTTGGTGTCATGCTCAATGAAAAGGCAACCTTCACTACTTCTGGTATATTATAAATTGTCATACCTTTTCCAGGGTTACTGACCATCCAACTAATAATGGCTCTATTAACAGCCTTTTTAAAAGGACCATAGACAGTTCTATCTAGTGGCTACATTTTGTGGGTGCAATGGGGTATAAAACTTAACATGATAATACATTTGCTGTCGCATAGTCTAGTGCATTCAATGAAAAGTGCAAAAAGTTATTGTCAACCAGTAGCAAAACTGAATGCTTCTTTGAATTTATTTTGTAAATCTCTTACTCATTTGCAAAGAAGGCAAATGAGTAAGAAATTTACTAAATGTGTCTTCCTTCATCTAACCAGATTGATTTGCGTCCTCATCACTGCCAGGTGGTGCAGAAGTTAAAAAATGGTCCCTAAAATTGACTCTGAGCAATATAACAAAAAGGTAGAATACTGCTACCAATAGCAGAGGCAGCACATGGCAAGGTAACTAAAGCACCTCTTTCTACTGAGGTTATTGCCCCAACTTGCTTTTGGCCCATTCTTGAGATCACTTTATCAGGCTTTTGAACTGTATTTAACCCTGTTTCATCCATATTCCAAAAATCTGCTGGTGTGAATTGGTGATGTTGAAGACACACCTGAAGATTATTAAAAAACATTTCAACATTGTCTTTGTTAAAACTTATGGCACGTGTAATGCTTGTGGCCTCTGGCGCTCTTAAAGAAAATGTTAGATTTTTTTTGTAGGAAAGACATAAACCAATCTCTCCCAGCACAATGATTGTCCATCCATGATTTTGGCATAGCCAATTTATTAGCATCTGCTAATTAATATGCTAGTTTCCTAACATCTTTTGGTGTAAGGCTAAAGTAAATATCTGAAGCTCTTTGCAAGTAGCTACAGAGTTCAAGATGAAGCTCCTGTGTCAACACTTGTCTGAAATAATATAAATATTACATAAGTTCATATTTTATGAAGTCACTTATAATAAATATTATAATCCTTAAACATATTAACAATCTACAAACCTAGGTTGTACGTAGCCAGTGTGAATTAAAGGTATTGTTGGTTTTTCTTAAAAATCTTCTTTAGAAGCTTTTGACAAATAGCGTTATAGGCTTCTATAGTTGATGTTAAAATCTAGAGACACCTGCGCTATGCTTCTGCCATTTAACTTTACAGCTTTCACTGCTTCAAGGATTGTGGATTTGGCAGTGGTATCTCTACTGGTTTTCCTTTAATAATTGCGAACCATGATTTAAAATCTGATAAAGCAAAAAAAAAATTTTTGGCTATTTTTTGTTAGTAAATTAGTAAAGTCAAGTCCAAAAAAGTATTACTTTATAACTGTCTATAACTATCATTTATTAATGTTTATTTAGACTTATAAGTCTTAAATAATATGCCTAATTCATTTTAGAGATGTCTATTACTTATAATAAGTAATGTATGTATCATTAACATTCATTTAAAAGTTTTACAACTATATGAGAGCATGGAGGCAATTTTTTGATATATGAGATCTTGCCCCCTTTAAAATAGGACATCTTGCCCCACATGGAGTAGAGGAAGGTTTGACCTAAATAACTTTTTATCCTTGCCATAAATCTGATAAATGACTAGCACACCAGTAAAAGAATTTTTAAAACTATAAACATTTTAATGTATTAAACACAAATATTGCATATTGTTACTGTATTGAACATTTGAAAAAAAAAGTTATAAAGTTACTTACCAACAAAATTTTTACTTTTTTAGAAAAACTATTTGCGCAAATTTCATGAAATCAACTGAACAATCATCCTTCAACACCATTTATATAATATAAAAAATTACAGCATCAATCCAGCCATAACAATTCAAAATAGCGAATATGACAAGTAACCCTTATGACTTTTAGCCTCGCTCTCCTCTCTATTCACTACCAATATTTGATTTAAACTTGAGAAGTAAATGAATTCAAAAAAGGACCATAGGTGTAAATTAATTATATTTAAAAAGTATTAGAAATATTTTAAATGCAAGTTAGAATATGATTTAAATGGGCGAAAAAATTTATATTAAGATGCAGTCTATGTGGAGATTTGATAATAATTTCAAGGGAACAAAGTTGACCAAACGCAAATTAAAATGTAAATTAAAAAAAGGAATTGAATTGCACTTTTACAGCATTTTAAGGTTACTTAAATTCATTAAAAATTTAGTTCATCCAATTAGTTTTGATTTTTGTTCAGGTTTTTTGAAACACTTTGTTTGTGTGTGAATTAATGATTTAGACACAGTAAAGAAAAACTTATCTTTGCTGGAAATTGTACATTGCCATTAATACTTTGGTTTAAAAAGATGCATTTATGATATAACAAGACGTGTTTATGACACATACTGAATTATTGTCAACAAAAGATTTTATCTAAGAAAGCAGAGTTCTTATCTTTGTCTTAACTAATTATGAAATACTGTTAATAAGAAGATTTACTAATTTTTATTAAAAGATTTACAATCTTTTATTACAACAACTTAACATAATTTTATAGTATGTAACTTTATTTAGCCTTATGGACACCATGGACAGTTTGGTCAAATTGTAGTGTTTTATCTGGCACTGGATTTTTAATCAGAACAAGAGAGTGTAATATATCAAATAGTGCAGAAAACTGTTCTGGTAACATCACAGAAGTTATTCCTTGCTTTTCAAATATATCAAGTTTTGGTTAGCTTTTTTTTTTAAAAAAAATTTGTTTGCAGTATTTTTTTTATATAATTAATAATACATAGCATCAACATTAATAACATCATCAACATCAATGACATCATCAAACAGTATCTGCCACTGGTGTTGATACTGCATCCATCATCTCCCAATGGTGTTGATGCTGTGTATTACTTATTATATAATCATTTTTTAAAACAACAGAAAAAATTATATTCAAAAAATCTTCTTAAATCATATTTAAGAAGATTTTTAGTTTTTAGTTTAAATTTTTTTAAAAAAAGTTTTTTTTTATTATTTGATAGACTGCCTGTCCCAACCAATCCCTCAGTGGGTGTAGTGGCACTTTCTTGTAGTAGCAGACTATAAGATAGTCAATGTAGCAGCACTTCCTTGTTGCACCAGGCTTTAAGATAGTTAATGTAGCAAGACTCCCTTATAGCCGATGTAGGAATATAGGAATCTATATATATATATATATATATATATATATATATATATATATATATATATATATATATATATATATATATATATATATGTATATATACAGTCATGTGCATGAAAATAGCAGTGGCACAAAAAATTATAAAAAAACCTTATTAAATTTAATGATATGCATAATTTCGGACCGTAATTGTTAATTTTTCATAATTAAGTGTTATCTGACACTATTTAGTCTAAAAAAAGCTTTTAAACTTAAATGGACAATATCATACTACCATTTTTTTAAAAAAGGTACTTTTATCACATTTAATGAATGCAGATTTACCATTAAAAAAGTAAATAAAATATAACATTGATGAAAAACTATTTATTCATCTTTTGAAAATATATCTAATACTTAGTTCCATGACCCTTATTTTTTAATACTGCTTTACATCTTCGTGGCATTGACTCGATTAGATGACGACATCTTTCTAAGGGAATAGCTCTCCAAGCTGCTTCAACTGCTCTCCAGAGTTCCTCTTTATTGGCTGGTCTAGACAAAGATACTGCTCTTTTAACATCCCCCCACAGGTTTTCTATCGGGTTCAGGTCTGGGGATTGTGCTGGCCAGTTCATTACCTCAACCTTATTCTCTACAAACCAATTTTTAGCTTTACGAGAGGTGTGTTTAGGATCATTATCCTGCATAAAGATCCACTTCAAAGGCATTTCTTCTTTTGCATATGGTAACATGACTTCTTGCAGTATTTTAACATAAGCAGTTGCATCCATGATGTCTTTGATCCAAAAAATAGGGCCCAATCCAAACCAAGAAAAACAACCCCATGCCATCACCTGGCAGCCAACATGTTTTATTGTCTTGGTGGTATACTTTATATTATATTCTGTTCGTGGGGGTCTTCGTACAAACTTTTCGTGAATACCTGGATTAAATAAAACAATTTTAGTCTCATCACTCCAAAGAATATTACGCCATTTCGATGATGGTCATTCTTGATGCTCTTTAGCAAATGCGATTCGATTTTTAATCTGTCTCTTATTTAGAAGTGGAGTTTTTCTGGGCCTTCTGGCTTTTAAATTGGCTTTTATCTAACGTCTTCTCACTGTCGAGGACGATATTGGTAAATTTAATTCCGTTTTTATGGCTGTGGAACTCATAAAAGGATTTATCTTCGCACATCTAATAATTTTACGGTTCGTTTTCAATGACGTTTTAAATTTTCCCCCACGCAATTCCGCTTTTTGTGTCCATTTTTTGGCATTGGAAATCATTTTTGCAGAACATTGTAAAGCATCTTGGATGAATTTGTAAGTTTTACCATCTTTTAACATATTTAAAATTATTTGACGCTTCTCATTGGAACAATGTTTTGCTCTACCCATTTTAACTGTAATAAAATTGTGAAACTTAATAAAATATCGCTTAATTTTAATGAACAAACACTTACCTTAATGTATAAAAAAAATTGATGGTAAAAACAACTTTTAAGGCACTAATAGAAAATAAAGTGTATATTCACTGCTATTATAACGCACAGTTAATAAAGCAAAATTTTATAATTTAATTTAAAGTCTGATACATGTATGTATAAACAGCAATATTGCCAACCTCTTTATATTTAAAAACCCTAACAGAAAATATTTAGAAAATAAAATATACAAAATTAACCATCAGTAAAAAAATTAAATGTATTTTATAAATAATTTTCACCCACTTCTATTTTCATGCACATGACTGTATATATATATATATATATATATATATATATATATATATATATATATATATATATATATATATATATATATATATATATATATATATATATATATATATATATACATATATATATATATATATATATATATATATATATATATATATATATATATATATATATATATATATATATATATATATATATATATATATATATATATATATATATATATTAGGGTTATGACTTTGTAGGAACCCCGTGCTCCTGTACTGTAGTTTAATGAACTTTTACTTAAAAAGCACTAAATGAACTATTATTTGCATATATTTTCAAAAAAGTTCACCCCGCCATTGAAAAATCTATTTTGACATAAATAATACTATGTATTCAAATGTATTTAGAATGTCATAGTCATGTAATACAATAAATTTTTAATCCAACAATGACTCAGACCGTTGACCTTGCAAGACTGTTCACCAAGGAATCAAAGGTACAATTTGTCTTTATTTTTGCATGAGAAATAAATTTCCTACATTACTTTGATTGCGTGCTCTGCACATTGATTACTTCTGGGTATCTGTAGTATGGATGGCTCTGGCTTCCAGTGATTTTTCAAAGAGCTCAAAGCCTTTTTGTATAAATTCAGTATTTCAGCCAAGTATTTAAGTCGTTTTCATTGTACAGTTGGTCTGTAAACCAATGGTCTGCCCAGCCATACGATATAAATTGACATACTCTCTGCAGAACTGTCCATATTGAAAAAATTAAAATGAAGGCCAGGATCACTAGTATAGCTCTGGAGTTCTACCTCGCATTGCTGATGTTGGGTATTTTCTGAAACCTGATTAATTTGAAAATGCCCCTTTTTCCTCAAAAAGTCGGAACACTCAAGTGTGATGAAACAAAAATTTCATATCATCTCTTTAGCCTGATGTTTCGAAAATTACTTCTGTTCCGTTATCAAACTGTGTTTTTAGTTGTTCGTACTGGTTCGACAGTTAGAATACAAATGGATATTCAATATTTGGCAATTATTTTTTACTTCTAAGTTCTTCATTTATCACCAAATGGAGGATTTTATCTAATGCATGGTGTTGACAACTGATAAACTGAGGTTTGTTGATGCATTTCTCTGTGAACATTTGTTGCAATATTACAACAACACCATTCTTTTTTCCAGTGTAAAAGCTGGTGGTATCTGCAACAATCATCTGTATTGAATTCCATAGATGAAATTCATTGAGGACTTTAGAAATTCCTTAAGCAATAGTTAAATCCTTGCCATCTACCAAGCCAATGACATCCAATTTGATTTCTCTTCTTTCATTTTTAAGGGGGACCACTTGATAATCCATTCTGTCGATGTGGTTGCCATCAAAGTGTAAGGACCAACTTTCCGTATGCAACTTTTCAATCATTTTTTCCTTAAGCTCAATTGCCTTTTTGATTGTTTACTTATAAATAGCTGATTGACATGGAGTTGGGATGTCAATTCCTTCACGAGCCATTTGCTTGCATATGTTAGCAGCATTGTTTGTTGATATTCTCATGGAGGTCACCAAGTTGACTGCAATTTTGTTTTTATGATGTTTTCTGCTTGGTGTAGGAGTTGTCTCATCTTTTTCTTCATTGTTTTTATATTTACTGTTGTCAGCCTCAGAGTCAGAATCACTAAAATCAGGATAGTAAGATGATGAGTTTGATGACTCATTAAAAAATTTTTGTCTTTTAGAGGGACGGACTGTTTCTTTACTGGCTATTTGGCCTGTAGAGAATCCCACTGTTCCTTTGCTTTCCACTTAGAGATGGTATAATCTCTTGTCCTCGGAAGATAACCATGTTTCGAGGACAAGAATAAATAAAATTAGATGAGCAGCTATATATAGTCTAAAATGTTCTAGAATATTCCAGAATGTTCTAAATTGTTCTAGAATGTTCCAAAATATTTTAAATTGTTCTAGAATGTTCTAAATTATTCCAGAATGTTTTAAATTGTTCTAGAATGTTCTAAAGTCTTCTAAAATATTCTGTTATTTTCCAAAATGTTCTAAAGTTCTAAACACTTCTAATCTATACAAGTTTTGAATGATTTGCAGGAAAGCCACATGTGTTAGTAGTAGCAGTAACAAGATTAAATAATTGACGAAACGTAATTTGAATTGTGGGGTGATCTTTTTTTACAACCGAGAGGATTTGAACATGTTTTCAACGTTTTCTAATAAAAGTTCGATTTATGACACAGGAATTTTAATTTTTTTTAAAAAAGTCAAAAAGTCATAACCCTAATATATATATATATATATATATATATATATATATATATATATATATATATATATATATATATATATATATATATATATATATATATATATATATATACACTGTTAAAATGACTGCTGAAAAAAAAATCTTTTGCTACTATTTAAGATGATTTCTTATTTTTATTATTTTAATAACAACTAGCTGAGATCGGACTTGTAAAAATACGGGGTTTTTTATATCTATTCCGAACCAAAATTTTCTATACTTTTTCCTTATATATCCTAGCTTTCTGAATCCGTAAAATACAGGTCTTTACCAAATTACATATCTATTTCAAGCCGAAAATTTCTATACCTATTCCTTATTTACTTCAATATTTTTTAGTAAAATAATTTATTCTGAAAAAAAAATTTAAGAGCAAAAAACTCAACATACGCACCTTTTTTGCATATGTAGAGCTTATAAGAGACTTATAATTAGGTTTATTTTTCTGCTAAATATATTTCATTGATAGCGCAGTGGTTAAATGCACTTAATAAAAGACAATAGTCTTGGGGCCATCCATCCTTTTTCCTTATAACCCTCTTGAAAAGGACGTCATAAAATCCCCCTCCCCCTATTTTGAACCCCCAAAAAAATTATTTCATATTGCAATGATGTTTGAATCTGCTGCTACACCTTGGAAAAATAAAAATAAAAATATTCTCATACATTATCTTCTTAAAAACATATTTACATAATTTTTCATGTTAATTAAACTAAAATAAAAAATCTAAAGTGACGTCCTTTTCTGACAAACTCCCCCCTCCCCTTGTTTTTTTTTGTCCTTTTTATCTCGACCCCCTCCTACCCCCCCCCCCCCCCTAGTTGGATGACGTCCTTTATGGATGGCCCCTTTTGTCTTTATTAGAATACATCCCATAAAAATAAATTCCATATATCTTTAATAGATAGAGTTTTTATAAACAATTGAAATAAAATTTTATTTCTATGACTATCATTTTTAAAGGTCTAAGAAGCAGATGACATAATTTTAGAAATCAGAAATTATTGAGAGAGGAGCAAATCTAAAGTTGAAGTTTCAAATTTTCCACTCGGAAGTGACAATATGTTTTGTGTTTTTTTAATCTTGTCAATTTTTTTGAATATAATAACTACAAAAAATCAAAACAAAACAGCTTGAGCAAAAAAGACTTGTAATTATTAGAAAAGTTTACTTATGTTACATACGATCCTGAATGAAACGTTATATAAGTGGATTTTTTACATTTTATAAACAATATATATAAACAAATAACATATTTGTTTATATATACATTGTTTATATAGAGATGGTTAAGCGCAACAAAGTTTAAAAAAAAATTAGTATTTATCAAAGTTAAAAAATGATTTATATAATGTTTCTTTGCAAAAACTAACGCTCTATAATAAAATTTTTAAGTGCTATAATAAAATTTTGAACTACAATTACTATATTCACTATAATAAAATTTTTCACTAATTTAAAATTTTTAAGCAAATATTTTTTAATTTTTTTGGTTTAGTGGCTTTTGTTAAAAGCTTTTAAATTTTGCGTCAAGTTATCTCATTTGAACATATTTTTTGTATCATCATCCATACTGCAGCCATTTTTCAAAATGCCTAAAGGTTAAAAATATTATTTTTGACTTTTTTACAAAATAAGCTAGTTTATGTCTGCAAACATTATTGAATACATATTTTCAAAGAGTTTTGAAAAAATTCATAAAAGTTATTCGTTTAAAAAAAAGTTTAACAAATACTTAATTTTTAATAATTTTTTTAATTGCGTTTTTCTCAATATACGTAATAAGCATATTAAGGCATTTTGAAAAACAGCTGCAGCATATATTTATAGTAAAAAAATTAATGTAGCAAAAAAAACTTTTCTTTGTCAAAAGAAAGTTCTGAATTTTTTGTCTCGCTATGGGCTTTTTTTTTTTTTTTTTGCCTCTACAGCAGCACCTTCTTGAGTACCAGGACTTTCTTGTTAAGTTTTTTCTTTATTAAGCTTTTGACAATTTTTTTTCAGACCATCCTCAGCCTATTAGGACTAATTACCTGAGCACATAAATAATATAAGTAACTCAATCATGACACATACACAACAAATTTTTTTTCCAGGTGATGTTTTTTTTTATGTTTTATGAAATTTTAGCTTTGTTAAAATCTTTTCTTTTGTAAAAGTGTATAATATCGTTACAAAGTTTTGTTGTCAAAGAGTTGTTTGTATATAATCTCTATAAAACTTCAAAAGTAATAAAATAATCGAAAAGAATTTAAAAAGTATTAGAAACATTTTAATTACAAGTTAGAGTATGATTTAAATGGGCTGAAAAATTTATATTAAAATGCAGTTTATGTGGATATTTAATAATTACTTCAACCGAACAAAGTTGAAGTAATTATTAACTCTCCACACGGGCAACCATGGACGGTTGTAAATAAATTTGATTGATTGATTGGTTGTTGAAAGATATAATGACAAAGAGTTCAAAATTTTGTTATCAAAATGTTTGCTAATATGCCAAAGTTAATGTTACTGAGTTCAAACTAATTATTGCAAACATTTAAAAAAATATTGTTACTTAACTGTTTCTCAATATTATTTTTTGAATAAAAAGATTTACTAATTTTTATTAAAAGGTTTACAATAAATCTTTTGTTACAACAAT